TCATCTCAAAAATACCTCTGTAAAGTATTAAGACGAAATTACAACTCAGTAAAAAAATATAACGTTATTTATAACTGTTTGCATGCGCGTCGCAAACTTTGAACCGGTTTTTCTCAAAATGAACTTTTTTCGCGCTGCGGACAGTTAATCTCTGGAACCGCTGAACCGATTTTGAAAATTCTTGGTGCGTTTTGTTTGTTAACATGTCGTGCATGAAAATTTACCACAATTTGACTAAAACATCAAAAAATAAAAATTTGGCAACGCAAAAATGGTGAAAAAACAGGCCATTTTTCCATCTAATTTTTAAAAACTTGAGCCAAAATTTTTTTTATCGATTTTTTGATAACGGTGGTAAAATGTCACGTAAGAAACCTTCCTCTTTAAGACCCAATTTGATTTTTTTGTTTCAGACTTGCCAATCCGGAGATTAACTGTCCGCAGTGAGATAATGCGTTTTTGACGTCGCTACTTCAGCGCCATCTACAATTTATCTCAAAGATGAAAACTAAAAGGACTAATTTTTTTTTTATTCTAGAATAATACAGCAATATGTAGAAAAAAGTTTTAATTGATAACTAATAAAGAGACTGAGAAATTTCGTTTTGAAATATCGCGTTTTGTAGCCTTCTAACCGGTACTAGTACCTTAAAATTTGGACCCTACGGGGATCGAACACCGACGCATGACCTAACCTAGTGCCTAAACTAACTGCCCTAACGACTGCGACTACCGAACCGACTTACATATTTCTGGATTCAACTGTCTATATAAAGAGCAACTGTAAAATAGTAAAATTCAATTACCAATATTACCAATAAATCAGAATAAACTGTTAAATAATTTTTATTAATTAATTATATTTCAATTTAGTCATAATAGGTTATGTGAATTAATAAAAATTAACATTATTAATTGAATCAATAATAAATTAAGTCTTAACTTTATAATTTGGAATGTTTCATAAACTATAACACTGTGTGACAAAATAAAAAAAGTTGCCAGCACTTTTATAGAGACCTAATACAAGTCGTAGGTCTAGTAAAACTATGAACAATGATGTGTGAGAAATTCCCCCAACACCCCCAAAATTTAATTTTAGGGGCAAAAAACCGTTTTTTGTGTTTTTATGTAGAGAATTATACGTAACTTCCGTAATTTTCAACCGATTTTCAAAATTGTTCTTTTGTTTGAAAGGGGAAAAGCACACCTTTTCAACCGTGTCTTGCTCGTTTAGTCAAAATAAAAATTGACAAAACCGCGGTTAAAATATTTGCGATTTAACGATTTTCATTACATTTTTTCAACTTTAACGAGCTTTTTAGAATAATATTAGAATTTACACATTTTTTTCATGATAATTTCTTAAAAGTATACTTAATTCTGCGTAAAATGAGCATTTTTTTAAAAAAATTTAATACAAATTGAGGGAGATACGTGAATTTTAAGATTTTAAAATTTTTTCGCTAAATTTACAAATATTTCAATTTTGTTGTGGAATTTACATCAGGGCACTTTAAATTTTGTATTCAGTAAATTTAATTGATTAACTAAAATGGCATGCATGTCAAACTTGTTTTTGATAGATTTAAATAAAGACAGAGTCCGTATTTAGAGGGGGTCCGGTTAAATTTTAACTTTTCTATAATTTATATTGTTTAAGTGTGTCAATGTTTTCAAACATTATTTAGGATTAAAATCTATTCTATAATCTTCAAATAAAGAATAACAGATAATTATTTGACAATTTATATAAGAATGCCTTAAAATTTCGTAAAATATAAATTTGAACTTCTACCACATTTTTTAATTATTTTTTATTGTCGAACTTTTCATATGCTTTTTTCGCAATACTGAAAAATTTTATTAATTTTGATAACATAGAATAGATTTGAATCCTAAATAATGTTTGAAAAACATTGACACACTTAAACAATATAAATTATAGAAAAGTTAAAATTTAACCGGACCCCCTCTAAATACGGACTCTGTCTTTATTTAAATCTATCAAAAACAAGTTTGACATGCATGCCGTTTTAGTTAATCAATTAAATTTACTGAATACAAAATTTAAAGTGCCCTGATGTAAATTCCACAACAAAATTGAAATATTTGTAAATTTAGCGAAAAAATTTTAAAATCTTAAAATTCACGTATCTCCCTCAATTTGTATTAAATTTTTTTTAAAAAATGCTTATTTTACGCAGAATTAAGTATACTTTTAAGAAATTATCATGAAAAAAATGTGTAAATTCTAATATTATTCTAAAAAGCTCGTTAAAGTTGAAAAAATGTAATGAAAATCGTTAAATCGCAAATATTTTAACCGCGGTTTTGTCAATTTTTATTTTGACTAAACGAGCAAGACACGGTTGAAAGGGTGTGCTTTTCCCCTTTCAAACAAAAGAACAATTTTGAAAATCGGTTGAAAATTACGGAAGTTACGTATAATTCTCTACATAAAAACACAAAAAACGGGTTTTTGCCCCTAAAATTAAATTTTGGGGGTGTTTGGGATATTTCAAACATACTACTTTTTTCAGTTTTTCAACACGAACAAGTTATTTAAAGTGCCATTTTACTGTCACACAGTGTAATACGAATACAGATTAATAATAATTATTATATCTGCATTTAAAATGAATTTAGTATTTAATATTAATTTAATTTAACATTATAATTTATAATAATAATGAATTATTAATGCAATATTGAAATTTTTATAAATTTTAAATTTAAATTATTAATAAAATCATTATAGTAAGAAATTATTCTATTAATGATTAATAATAATTTAAATATAACTGTATTTCAATTATAATGCAAATACTTCTCATAATAAGTACTGACTGGTATAGTAAATTACTAATATTATGAAACAAAATTTATTATTAATTAACTATATTAAATAATTACAAGTAAATATACATATATTAAATTAATATATTATAAATATACATTAAATAAATATATTAAATAATGTTAAAAGAATGGACCGAATGTTTTGATTTATTTACCTACTTTTGCTGTATAATTAATTCAATAATTATATGAATTTGAAAAATGAGAACTTTTGTTAAGTTAGAAGAACAATTTTTATAATAGAATAATGTATTCTGAAATGTAAAAAATAAATTTGAAAGATTTTATATGTATATATAAATTTTCATGAGACTACCAAAATTAGAAAGATGTACCAAAATTTTTATAGGTTTTGTGTTCACACATTTCAGAAATAGTCAAGAATTTCAGAAATGGTCAGGAATTTCAGAAATGGTCACAGCTTCGAAAATGGTGGGAGTAAAGTGGGAGGAGCTTGGAAAGTTTTTGGTTAGGAATGGTGAGAAACGTTCGAAAACGTCAGAAGTGGTGAGACTGTTCAGGAATGTTCAGAAATTCTGATCATTCATGACGATTCCTGATTTTATTTTTAGTAGGGTGCGAGTTAAAGGAATGAGAAAATAATAATAGTGAGTGTAAAAATGAAACTTTAAGAAAAAAAGGTAAGTTGAACTGTCAAATATGCGAGTCCAATGCGGCGTAGGCTGCTTTCAATGCGGTACACAATCGGTACATAGTGCAAGTCGCCAGTAGAGGGCAGAAGCAAGCAGAGCGAATCGAGCGAACACAGTGGCCCAGCTGACATATGATTTGCATTACATTACTTTCCAATTTTTTATTTTATAACCACGTTTCTGCATGAATCTAAACAATATTTTCGATTATTGTAATTTAGAAGATGCTTACCAATTGTACGTTGGCAGATTTAGTGAAAAGTGTCTGTGTACGGAGACAAATGTGTTAGAAAATGTTTGTTTACCTATTTCACGCCATTCAAACCAGTCAAAGTTGCTTTTGCTGTGGCGCATTGAAATCAGCCTATGCCGCATTGGGCCCATATTTGACAGTTCAACTTACCTTTTTTTCTTAAAATTTCATTTTCACACTCACTATTATTATTTTCTCATTCCTTTAACTCGCATATTTCTCCACTGACACTAATTATTTCCTCCTGTCACGTATTTTTGTTTTTTAAAGCTTAAAACTGGCACCGCATTGGGACCCCTTCATTTCCGTATTCACCACGACACCCAATGCGGTAATTCGCGAATACCGCATTGGCAGGTTGGCACTTGCAATACGGAATCCCGTACCTCCCAATACTTTTTTTTACAGGGTACTTAACACCCACATTCCTAGAATTATTTTCAATAAAAAAAAGTTTATTTTTCACCCTGACGCAACTTGTGCTTTTTGCAAACTTGAAAACGAATGTATGTATCACATTCTGCCCACGTGACCTTCCTGTTTGCTACTATTACTTGTACTGAAGTTAGTAACCTTCCGCCTAAGGATAAGTGGCTTTATGTTTTGTTATCTAGCAGTTGTGCATTAGTTAAGCAATTTGTTAACAAGCTCATTAAAGTCTTGAACACACGTTTAAGTCGTGAATAATTTAGCAATTTTTTGTTTTTTATTTTAAAACGAAATAGATTTATTATTTTTAAGAAAGCAAATTACAGGTCTTTACATTTTGGCTCCTTGAGCAACACTGACTCCTCTACAATTTTCTTATCGGAAGTCCTCCCCTTTTCCCTTCCCCTACCATTTACTTCCTACTACTTAACCCCTTCGCAGTCATGACTAAAATCTCATAAGTGGGCTAAAAATGTCGACAACTTTTTAGAAAACTAAAATTTGCGCACACGGGCATACTATTAATGAGTGTAAGACAAATATTATATAAACAATTACTAATTTTTGTGCCCGTTTCGGAAATAATAATTTTAACAACTAGTAAAATGAGTGCTCAATGTTTACTCCGATATTTCAGATAAAATTTTTCATTGACGCATAAAAACACTTAGCAACTAAATAAACAAATGAATAGATTTGATTATCTTCAAAAACTCCCTAGTTCTACGTTTGTAGTTGGATCTTGAACGCTGTTGTGTGCAGGAAAAGAGTAAATGAACAAAAATAATAAATCAATGACAACATTGAGTAAATATATATGATTTATTATAAGGTGCAACAAGAAGATATACCCTCAAATTAAAATTGACGTTGAAATATATGTACATAGAGTAAATGCACCAGTGGTAAATTAATTAAGCTCATTAAATATCTTGCTTTGACTTTAAAGACCTATGAATTTTTCAAACAAAAAAATAGGTAAAAATTTACTACTGGCTGGGCTAAAAATGACGTCATAAATATCTTGTATTTTTTAATTCTCTGTAACTCTCACATAGTCTCCATCCACTTTAAAAAATAAGTGTCTTTGTTTAGTGCTTTAATCCACTTCAGGTGCACTTACCCTATTGTACACTTACATCATAATCTTAAAACAATTAATTCAATTTTTATAAAACAATTCTTATTTTGTAAAAAAAATAACATTTTTTAAATTTTTATATTTGTTAAAGCTCACTAAATAAAATTGGAAAAAATTTAAAATATTTAGGGTTCCGTTGTACTTACAGTGGGTTTTCAGTTAGTAGTGGCAAGACTGACATTGTAATGTTAGAAAAACACTATAAAATAAATATTTTGAAACAGATAAAGAGAAATCTTCGTAATTTATCGACTAAAAATAAGTACACTAACATGTATTTTATAGCCAATTTATAACCCATTTACTCCCAAACCATTTTTAAAAGATTTAGAATTAAAACTTAAGCTACCCAAACCAGTAATTTCCCTGAATTCTCTAATAATTTTGACATGTTTCGTGTTTATGTATATTATCAACTTTATAAAATTGTGAATTAATAATGTAGGACATAATTTACTGTAATTTCATTTAGATTTCTCTTTAAACAGTTTCAACTAAATTGACTCGAATAAAATAAATTGTATTGCACATTTGTAAAGTATTAAAAAACTTACTTAAATTTGAGCGAACTTCAGTTTTTCAGCACATGTATGGAATGTTCCTTTTCAGTTAACTACATGTTTACAACATAAGTAAATATTGATATAATAAAAATTATAAATAAAACATGATATAAGTTTTGCTGCTTAAATTTGAACAAATATAGTGTCAAACATATTGAAGAATGTTCACAAACTAGACCACGAAATTTTGGACTGATTTTACACTCAATCCGTATAAGGTCACTTCTTTGTGTTAGCCTTTTCCATATCAGGCTAACTAACACTATATTACTTTAATAAATCCAAATTACTAACTCTACACCGGGTATAAGATGGAGAAAATTTTATATTTTCTTTTTAGAAATCTTGATTCTCCTCTTTTATGAATGTGACGTAGTTTGTGAATAACCCCACATTAACTATCAAACACACAACAAATTTTTTTAATTTGGGCTTCTCACTATGAATACTATATATGGGCAATTCTCCACGAAGTGGTAACTTTTGACTACGGCTACTTTTTTATTAAAACTTTCTATTCAGAAAATTAATTTTTTTGGAAATTACCAATGTAGATCTTTTTAATAAAGCTTGAAAATAATTATTTTGTTGATATTTGAGCTTAAACTCTTTTTTTAATCTTTTATAAACAATTTCAAAATTTTTAGTTTAGAGATTAAAAAATAAATTTAAGAAAGTCAAGTTTTGTCCATTAATAATAAAAATAATGTAAAAACAGATAAAATCGAAGAAAAAAATCCACGAAACCCGTTAAAATTAATAAAATCATTATTCTTTACATAATATTAAAGAGATTTGCTTACTCTAAACCACTATTATTTTTATTTTTGTAATTATGTATTAAGAATTCAGTTATTTTCGCGGAACTGGAGTTTACATATACCTACCATTAAAATGCGCAGTAAAATACTATTAATTTTTGTAGTTTTAAAACTAAAAATGCTATTTCTTTATGCAAATTTAACATAAATAGGTACAACTTGTTAGCTTGATAATATAAATAGTAGGTAAAATCGCATTAAAAATTTCAATAAAAATAATGAAAATCCATAAAAATGTAAACTCCGGTTCCGAATAACAAAATAGCATCTCCACTTGAAGAAAGTATTAAAAAAAATATTTTTACACAAATTTATCATTGAAAATTGGAAATAACATATAGAAACTTAATTTTGGAGATGAACTTTCGAATGGTGTTTTTATTTATATAAAAACACGATTAAAATAAGCTTTGTGTAAAATAAACCATATTAGACTTCATGATTTCTGTGTGGAGAATGGAGAAAAGTTTAGCCAATTCCAATTAAATCATAACTTTTGTTTCGAAAAAGAAATTTTTTCGATTATGATATTACTAAAAAACATAGTAAAGATTAATTGTCTAAAAGTTCGAAGCAGATTTGAAAATAATTTTTAAAGTTTTATTAAATAGGTAACAGTTAGGAATAAAAAGTGATCATTGAGTTAAGAATCACCCATTTTGGAGTTGTTGAATCCGAATCCCAGGTTGCGTACATTTTTAAAAAGAAAAATGTCCCAATATGGACTTTTGGGGTTGCAAATTACGAATATAAGGACATTTTTCTTTTTACTCAATTTTTTTAAAAAATTATGCAGCCTCGAATTCGGATTCATCAATCCCGAAAACATAGATGCCCAGATCATAAAAAGGATTTTTTGTGTGTCTGTGATTTACCTTTACAGTAGTTTATTATATAAATGATACGAGTTTTTGTACTACGCATACACGAACTCAAACAACTCTATCTCCATTCCAACCATATTGTGAAAATAAACACAAAATTTCTAATCAAAATCGAAACGAAAGAAAAATCTAAATATTTGTACTATAGTTTCGTAGGATTCTTTGAATTCGATCGATAAGAAATTAGTGAAGTTCCTGATAAAGAGTGGAATATGGTTGAAAGTCAGTTACACCTTGAGCAGCTAACTCTGCTATGGTACGCTCTAAATAATTTTTATCCGGATATCCGTGTCTGGAAATCGAGGGTCCTAATTCTGTTTTGTGATGAATTTTATTCCACGTAACAACGTCTTCTCGTCCTGTTGTTACGGATCGTCCAATAGTGAAAATCAGTCTTCGATCAAATGCAACCTGAAGCAGTCTTAATACTTTTCGTCCCAATTCATTGTCTGGAAGATAACAAACTCTTGGAAATCCCACTGCGTAATACATTTCACCTGGATTAGGATGTTCTGGACCTTGGATTCCTGATGGAATGCTATTATCAAAATAAAAACATATTATGTACAACCTGATACTAATTTTAATATAAAATTATAATATTTATATTATTATTATAATATAAAATCTAATACAATTATAATATTTAAGGGATAACATGACAAAATTTTTTATCATCCTAGATGAATAAGTTTTCATCAAATATTTCAGTTTTATAACCTTCTTTCGAATTTTTCTTTAGTGATATGATTAAAAATTATTAAATGCTATGGTATGGCTGTCATAAATTTTAATAGTTTAAATGGTATTGAGTCAAAAGTTCCAATTCCGAAGGACCCAAATTATTATTTTTCCAACAGTCGTATTTCCAAACATTGTTTTTTTTATTTTTCAAATTTCAAAGTGCAATTTCAAATCAGGAAACTTTCAGTTATTATCGTTGTTATTTTTATAAATTGTCATTCGACGTTTGCTCCTTCCAAAATTATGTAATGTAATTAAAAATTTTATTCAAATTTAAAAATAGTAAACAGTGAAATTATATTAAATTGTAAATTAGTGGAAATACAAATTTTATTTGAATTATAAAATAGTGAACAGTGAAATTATATTAAATTGTAAATTTTAATTATGGCAGAATTAATACAAGTCGGAAGAAAATTATTTACATATCGAAGGATTTCTGTACTACAATCATTCAGATAGAAAAAATAATGTGAAATATTGGAGATGCCTTATTTTTTCAAACAACTCCAATGCTTTTTCACTTATTTAACAATTCAACACTTTTTATTTTTAAATTTCATACTTTGGTAAATTTATATTTTGGGCTTTGGAACTTTTGTACTTGTGGAAAAATAAATTTTGGATCTTTTCATTTTGGAAATTTTTTCTTGTAACTTTTCGATTGGAACTTCTGTTTTGGAACTTTTGTACAGTTGAGGTAAATCCGGACAGGGGGTAAATGCGGACAAGAGGGTTTGGAGCTTGAGGTAACTTTTTTTAAAACCTTCCTTAGAAACTAAGCTGTCCGGATTTACCCCAACTTTTAGGAAATTTTCTAAATCGTGGAGTGAATCCGGACAGTTAGTTTTATGCGATTAAAGCTTATCTAAATTTTTTTCTGCACCATAAAATTAATCTAGGGAACTCAAGGAAGAAATTAATGCAATTTTATTAATATAAAACCGAAGAATAGGTATTTTGTCCAGATTTACCCCAACTGACCCTAATTGAATTTTGTGATAAGAATTTTATTACTTATCAAAATAATTGAATGTCTGCAAACATTTGTAATTTTTTCAAAATTCAATTTTTAGTGTTTTTAACTAAAATTCTTCTATAAATCTATTATTTTTAATAATTAATTAAATACATATTAGAGTCATTCCATTATATTTCGACTAAAGTCGTTGCCAACAAATTTTAAAAAATTGTAATATTTTGCAGGAATGATTTTAAAGACATTAGAATCACTGAACAAAACGAATTTTTAATAATATTTTTTATATTTATTGTAAATTAAGCATCTAAAGTATACGAAGTCGTAAAAATTATCACTTTTCCATCTATTAGAAAATATTAAAGAAAACAAATAATTTACTATGAAAACGTAAAAAAATTATTAGAGTTTATTAAGAATGAATTGGTTTAGTATTAAAAATTGATCATTAAATTGAATAAAAAACTTATGAAATATAAAGTACCTGTGATTAACTTTTAATTTTTCTTATCACTTTCTTTTTTTTCTTCACAAGTGTGAAAAAATAAGCAATTAATATTGGCACTTTGCTTATTTTCACGATTTTCATATGTACATAACTTTTACCGAGAAAAATAAAAAATATCGAAAATTGGATATTAGTAATTACTTAATCACTAAATACACACACTGGAAAAAAATTTTCTTTGGTCCCGATGCTATTTTTGGAAATAATTAATTTTAAACTTTTCACTATTTTTATCAGGTTAATACAATGTGATTTTTTTAAACTGAAGTTGGTTCAAAACGATAAAACAAGAAGAGCTGACTTCGTCCTTTAGAAAACACATGTATTAACCTGATAAAAATAGTGAAAAGTTTAATATTCATTATTTCCAAAAATAGCTTCGGGACCAAAGAAAATTTTTTTCCAGTGTGTGTATTTAGTGATCAAGTAATTACTATCCAATTTTCAATATTTTTTATTTTTCTCGGTAAAAGTTATGTACATATGAAAATCGTGAAAATAAGCAAAGTGCCAATATTAATTGCTTATTTTTTCACATTTGTGAAGAAAAAAGGAAGAAAGTGATAAGAAAAATTAAAAGTTAATCACAGGTACTTCATCATTTTTCATTTAATATTTTTTATTAATAATTGTTTTTATCAATTTATAATACTAAACTAATTCATTCTTAATAAATTCTAATAATTTTTTTAAGTTTTCATAGTAAATTATTTGTTTTCTTTAATATTTTCTAATAGATGGAAAAGTGACAATTTTTACGACTTCATATACTTTAGATGCTTATTTTACATAAAATATACAAAATATTTAAAAAATTCTTTTTGTTCAGTAATTCTAATGTTTTTAAAATCATTCCTGCAAAATATTATAATTTTTTAAAATTAGTCGGCAACGACTTTAGTCGAAATATAATGGAATGACTCTATAAAAAATATTTATTGCTTAACCGGAATTTGAATTGTAGGTGCGCTTGCGCAGTATTTAGAACGCAGTGTGAGAGCGCTGTGTGTATGTGTGCGATGGTAAATGTAAGAGTCTCGAGAGAGAGAGAAATTGCGTTCTCTTTGAACCACCTAACTGTATGGTCACATAAGTTGTTTTTTTTGTTTTCGGCGTAGTTTTTTTTGCGCCAATTTCTATATGTGTGTTTTATAATAGTTTTTCTTTCTCGAACCCGGAGCGGATTTTATTAAAATTTATCGTTAAGAAGTATTTGGATAATTGTTGTTAACAATTTGATTTTTTCAATTTTGTTCACGGTATATTTGCGAATTTGAACTCAGCTTTACACTTGTATATAGCCAAGATGGCTAAATTTTTCGTATATCAAAGCACATGTTTTTTTTCTTTTGGTTAAAATGGATTTTCTGCATTTCACTTTATAAAATATTTATTTTTATAATAATAATATTAATATTAATAATAATATAATATAATAAATATAATATAATATATTAATATTAATATTTTTTTTTTGCTTAGGGAATTTTGGGAAATCTGCCTACAGATACCTTGGATTCCGCACTTTTGTACTATGAAACAAAAGAGAATATTAAAAAAAGATAAATAAATAAATGTTATAATAAATTTAATAAACTGGCGACCTACTACCAGCCCGACCCACTAAAACCCGTAACCCTTCTTCTGGAGCCCTTTACCCTCCCTCGGAACTGTCGTGAGACTTTAGCCTTCGAGGGTGGCGCTCCAACTCTGTCGCTAATGCGACCTTCTTCTTTTCTCTGCGGTTTTTCTGCGTACGTAGTTAAAAAAACTATTACAAAGTCTAAGCGGAATTTACAGCACAACAATAATAAAAAAATAAATTTTTTTAAGAAGTGTAAAAAGTCAAAAGATAAAATTGTAAACGGATATAAAAAAGAAAAGAAAAAAAATAAACACGTATATAATGTTGAAAATAAAAAAGAATAAAAAACACAAAACAAATTAAAAAATGTATAAGGACAAATAAATCACAAAATAAATTAATAAGAAACGAACAAACAAATTAAAAGCTGTTTAAATTACGCTTTTTGGCGGCCGTCGAGATCCTTCCTCGACATAACCGAGATTATAAAGTTCTCGACCTGCCGCCAATTTTCTTTCGACTGGGTCATCAGCGATACCATGTTCTCCGGTGTAACGTGACTGTTTACACCTTCGAACATGGCCCGCCTCTCCAAGTTCCATTTTCTGCATGAGAAGAAGGTGTGCTCCGCGTTGTCCTCAGGGAACTGGCAATATGCACACACCTCGTCCTCGCGTAATTTAAAGCGACACAGGTACGAGTTAAAACACCCGTGACCTGTGAGCGCCTGAGTCAAATAATAGGAAACCTGACCGTGTTTCCTATTTATCCAGGTGGCGAGTGCCGGGATAAGGTGATAAGTCCATCGACCTTTTTCCTCACCATCCCATCTTTCTTGCTATCTTTCTATGAGCCTGTGCCTCGCTTCTTTGCGGATCAGGCCCTTGCTTGGTCTTATTTCCTCATCCAAGGAACTGCTTTCTTTAGAAAAGAGAAACATTTCTTTCCTTTCCCTCGCCAAAAGATCTGCTGGCGGGACACTTGCAAGGACCTGCACAGCACTCGTAGATACCGTCTTATATGCAGAGATGATACGCGTTGTTATCGATCTCTGCGCCGACAGTACCTTTTCACAGATGGTCACACATCTTTTAGTCCTCAGGGATGGGGCCCACGCTGGTGCTGCATACAGCATTTTAGCGTGGGCGACACTCGCCACCAGTCTTCTTTTTTGTTTACGGGGTCCGCTAACATTTGGCATTAGCCGTGAAAGATTAGCCGCACACTCGATGGCCTTATTTGACGCCGTAGCCATGTGGTGGTGGAAGTTTAACCTTCCATTCAACTCCACACCAAGATATTTAATTTGCTTACTCCACTTAACCTCGAATCCGTCTATCACGATTCGTGGAAGCTCGTAACAACGTCTGTCTGTGACCAGCAGTGCCTCGGTCTTTTCCAGGGCCATTTCAAGACCTCTGGTATCCAGCCAGCTTTTTGCTAGTCGCAGACATTCGTTCACCAATGTCCCAAGAGCCTCCTCACTTTCGGCAGTGCACACGAACAACGCGTCGTCCGCAAAGCCGATGATCACCGCACCTTCGGGATCATCGTAAGATACATTCCATACAAATGGACCCACCCTCGAGCCTTTAGGAGCCCAACGCTGCATCTCTTCCCTGAGTGTGCAGGTGTCTCTCTCATATATAACCCACCTGTTGCTAAGATAATTATTAGAGCTGTGCAAAATAATTCGAACCGAACTGTTCGAATATTTTCTCG